ATTCCTACCAACCGCTAGATCTCAACGTAGATGTCACTTCTTCCGAGCAGCCTTCCCTGAAATTCCTGAACCGCATAAGGTGCCCCTCTTCTGTGTTTCCTTGGCCCTTCCTCACCACCACCCACCACACTGCATGGAAACCACGGAACTGCCTACCTCTCACAATGAGTTTGCGAGCTCCTGACAGAGAGACACGTCCGTCTGGGTCACTGCATGCGTCCTCAACACTGGGGACAGTAACCACTCAACAGCTACTTGTGGAAAACCGAATAAAACATACCCACCACCTCTCCTCGGGCCAAGGATCCTACACAACACTGTTTCATCAGCCTGTGGCTGCAGGTTCTCTCAACTTTCACCTGGCACCAAGACTTTTGAAGAGTCCTGCATCATCTCCAAGATTCCATCTTTCACTAAGCCCCATGGTTTTTCACTATTAGCAAATGTTTACCATTTAGAGAGGGCCCGAGGGCCTAAGAGATTTCTGAGCAAAATTCTTGAGCAACAAATTAGCTACAGGCCAAGACTTGAATTGTGTTATGGGGTGTGTGTGGGAGCCAGGCAGAAGGTTCTAGGCAAGGAAAAAGCCTTGAAGGCAGGACCCCAGGCTGCAAACCTATAGAACTGTGAACTAACATCCTTGCCCGCCTGTGTATAGCGCCAACTGTATACAATTATTCTAGCGTTGCTGGGTGGGAAAAGACTCCCAGACACCCAGATGCTGAAAGCGAGTGAGCTTGTATAAGGAATCATAAGCCAGGGCATCCACAAGCTGCCCTTCAGGAAGAGGAGAGCCCTCTCCAAATCTGACATTCAGTCCAGAGTTTTCTACAAGTTCCTTTATTAACAAAGCAAAGTATAAAAGAACAGTCCCCCCCAAAAACCCCAAAAGATTAAAAGTGCAAATTTACTCCAACCTGAAATAGAAAACAAATGGCTGGCCCCAACCATTTGGGCCATGGAAATGTGGTGTGATCTAAAACTTTTAATCACACACCTGTAGCAGCGGGATCATATTTGATTAACCCTTTGGTCTCTGTTATTGGAACAAACCACATACTATGACTGCAGCCAGCAGACTGCATCAGAGTACACAGCTGGGGGTCAGAATACACATTTAAAATAACAATAAAATAAGAGGAATGTTTTAAAGTCAAGTCACTGAATCAAGGCACAATTTTTTTTTAAAGCAAAAGGTGCTAAAAATATTCCTGAATATCTGATACTTCAAAAACCAGATTACATATCATTTTTTAGGCTATTCTCTCTGTATAGATGATTGCATATTATCTTCACCCTCTCCCAACTTATACTTGCTAAATTCCCATCAAACCATGTGCTATGTAGGTATAAAAGAAAATAAACAGTAGTGTCTAAGTAACAGACATGTGATTTAAAAAAAAAAAAATTAACAAACACCAAGATGATAACACTGAACTTTTTTCCCTCTCAAGGGTCACTGGAAATGTTAATGAGGTTCATTTCCCCCACTACTGGGGAAGGCAGTAACAGCCTTCCTCCAGGGATAAGTTAAGTCTTCTCACCAAGGTCAAAGGCCATATTTTATAGAGTGACTTACTCCATGAGGTTAAAAAGATGCTTTGGAAGGATGTTTGGTTCATCCCTTCTGAATGCGAGGATGTCAGTTTTGGTGGAAGCCAACAGTGTTCTCAGTGGTGGGCATGGTAACAAGCCTAAGAAGCTTGGCCTGAAGACCCAGCACCGGTTTTCTGGGGTCCAAGGCCACCCACCATCACTGCTAAGCCACAGTCTGGGAGACTACTTAAAAAAAATGACTAATTTAAAAATAAGAACAAAATACAAATCAAAAAGAAACAAGTTATTCTGCAATCCTTCCTGATTACTCATCTGTGAACTCCATGACAGAGCCGAGGAGTTTAGCCCCGACTCACCAGGAAGGAAATGCCAAGAACTGGCCCCCAGTGGTTTGTTTGGAGGATGTGTAGCTGGACAAGAACAGCTCCGGGATCAAGGGGTCCTTCTGGGAACTATGAGTTAAGTGTTATCTGTAGCCCTGTTAATTTTTTTTTTTTTTTTGGGTTTGTTTCTATAATAAAGGTTAGCTCTGAGAGATAAGGACTTGAAATATCACACCCCCAACTATGTATAACGACATCTCCAGAACAATAAATATAACCTTATACATACTTGGAGGGTTAAACGTGTTCAGCAGGGGTCGCAAACTGGTGGCCCCAGGCTCAAGCAAATGTTCTGTTTGGCCCACTTGGTGTGTGGGACAATTTAAAATGATTTTGTTTAAAAATGAGAAAGTTTCACTTTAAAAAAAACGAATCCTGATTTCCGGCCCCTCCCTACCTTTTTCCCAGCACAGAGCTGACCAGTGGCTGCCCTGTTTAAGAGGGGCATAGTCCCCACCACCCACCCACCCCGTCCTGGACTGATCTCCCTGCCTTACTTCTGCAGGCTGCTGAGTTTGCGACCCCTGGTTTGAAATAGCACATACCTAAAAATGTGTTTCCTACCCAAACCTCTTGCACCCTCATGTGATTCTTCCCCCTCCCCCGGGGTTCCCTTCCCGCCATCGCTTCCTTCACTTCCCTCTTAAGGCCTCTCTCCTGAATTCTTCAGATTTCTCTTGGTTCCCCTGCTCCCGGTCTCCCTTCTAACAGCTTCTTCCATTTCCTCTTGCAAAAAAACATCTCCTTTTCTCAGCCCATGACGAGACTTCCAGGATGGCTCCCAAGACTGGTCAGTGGGAGTTACTGAAGGGTGTCTTCAGGCAAAATGGCTGAGTCATCCTCCCGAAAACTTTTCTTCTGGCACTGGCTGGACAGTTAATCTTTTTTTTTTTTTTTTTTTTAAACCACGAGCAATTTGGAGGCTTGTATAAGAATCTTTGCATACATCAATCTCTAGTACCAAGTATACACCAAAAATGTGTACATTTCAGATCAAGGAGGTGATGGAGCCCTGATAAAAGAAAGAATTGAGCTTAATTTAAGTGCCTCGGGCAACCATCACACCTGGCTAATACGCCATATTATTTCATTTGTACACAGTACATGTTTGGGATCACTACACATTGATCAAAATTGATCGAAATCTCTAGGTTTTGGTTGCCATGCACAGAGAACAATCACTCAGCATGGCACTTAAATAAAACATTAATACTTTAACAATTCACAAACACAATGCCCCATTAATTAAAAAATAATAATAAAATTTAAAAATCTTGAGGATGGATGAGGCTTTGGGTAATTAATGTGAAAAAAAATAACAAAAACACTATAAGAACAAAATGTTACCAGATTTAAACTTCAAAAGACTAGCAAGATAAAAAAAGGAACCTATCAACTCAACTAGAGACATTGGAAAGCTCAGCTTTTAAAGCTTTATAATCCTTCCAATAGCCTTGCTGTTCCCCATTTCAGTAGACTTAACGACTACAGGGGGAATTGGGGCTGATATGGAAACATTATAAATATATATATATATATAAAGATCTACCTACTCTTTGCATTTGTTTTTAAAAAGTAATTTTAAGAAACACTCTGCAGTTTATATCTTTGCAGGAAGTTGGTAGACTGATCCCTTTACTAAACTCAGTACCTTATGACCTAACACTGACCTTAAAAACTGGGAATGACCTTTGTGATATCAAGAGGAACTGTCCCCACAACAACCTCAAAGAGAAGGCATGACATTTGCAACTGTTTCTCTTACAGTCCAAGGTTGCAAAGGATCTAAGAAGTCTCTGCAGCTCCCATGAGGATCCCCTGCAAATCATTTATTCACAATGATTTCCTGCAGTGGCCAAGTAGGTCCCCTAAAGAAAGTTTAAAGAATTCCCTCAGAATAACTCAGAAGCTAAACAATGGCCCTATTCAGGTGGCTATTTCTGTCTTCCAAGTTTTACCTTTAAGAGTCTAAGGAAATACATGTCTTTGTCAAAAAAATTAAAAAGTCCCAAAGTCTAACACTGGGTGGGACTGGCTGCATTTTCTATTAGGCAAGCGGATGATGGACTATTCTGAACCTAAACCTAAAGTGAGTTGGGGATATTTACGTCCAAAGAGAAAAAACAGCAGACTATTGGCCAAGAGCTGTCACCCGCACCTCGCTCTCCTCGGCTGACTGCCGATCCGTGGTCAGGGAGCACAGAGCCCAAGATACTGAATTCTATAGGAAATGCTTTACAAGACCTGGGCCGAATCAGCCGCTCCTCCAAGTTGGCCTTAGGACCACTTAAAGGCCGCCAGGGGGATGGGAGGGAAACGTGGTGATCACATCACTGAGCACTGACTCAGAGAGCTAACTACATGCTAGGCACTATGGCAGGCGTTTGCTCATTATCTCATGAAAACTCAGAAAGACATTTCCATGCAGAAGAGTTTGTTCAAAAGGCTTCAAACAACAACAACAACAACATATGTTTCCATCTCCAGCCAGCAGCAAGCTCTGGTGAGTCACCTGGATAGGCAAATGTATCTTTCTCAAAACCCAACGTGTTTTCCCTGCTCACCAGTATGGTCCTAAACACATATTCTTTGCTACTTGGCGCTTCTGGCTCACGGTGGGCGATGCGTGTTGACTGGTACATATCCTAGGGTGTGCCTGCAGAGATGTTAAGCAAGCCTGCTTTTTACGACTGCACATTTCTTAATAATAAAGGTAACTGGCCTCCCTTTTGGATGCAACACTTGGCAGTGGCAATTACCACAAAATGAAAGGACTGATCAAAATAAAGTGCTATTTGCTCTCGAAGTTTCTCTAACCAACTCTTGACTGCCTCTCAACACGTGACTTAATTCTTTGCAGTCCTGTCAAACACCTGTGAATGCACCGCTTAAAAAACACATTAATATTAATTTGAATAGTGAAAACTGTGTTCCTCATAACATTAGCCCCTAGACTAGAACTTCAATTCCAGTTGTAGATAAAGATTCCGATTTTTTAAAAGACAACCAGGAACCCAGGATGGAGCAAGTAGTTACAAGGGGGAAAAAGTAGCTTCTTTAAATGTGGGGGCCAGAGATCTGTCTCAAAACCTGACAGAGGGAACTTTCTCTGCAGCTAGTTCTTGCTTCCTTCATTGGGCTTCCCTAAAAGCTGGATCCTTCTACAGAATCATTCCACCCAAACCGACATTTGAACTAACTCTTAGTGGCTGGTGTTGAAGGTCTTTTTCTGTAGCTTGCTCAGGATACGCTGGTGGGTGTGAAGAAGATGCCATAACTATACTGGATTGTGGAGCCAGGGGGGACATATAAGCCACCAAAGGTCACCCGCCGAATTTTCCATCACCTTTGGCACCTCATTTCCTTGCATTAAACTGGCTTCGTTGCCATCCCCACCCCATCTGGTGGGAGAGGCTTTAGGAGCATTAGGCCGCGTGGGGGCACTGTCAAGGTTTATGGCTGATCTTCAGGGAACCCCTGCGTGCGCTGACTCCGGGGTGGGGGGCACCTGGCAAGGTAGCGAGGACCCCCGTAGCCCCGGAGAAGTTGGGGCAGCCTTCGCCAGGTGGACAGCAACCGCGCCGCTGCAAGTTCCCGGGCGTGCCTGTCGAACGCAGCCAGGAGGTCAACGGGGGCAGCTTCACGCAGTACCTTGGGCAGCGGGCCCACCTCGGCAGCCGCCCCACCAGGGCCCAGGACGCAGTGGAAGAGCGTATGGCGTCTCAGCAGGCAGTCCCTAAGGAACTGCACTAACTCCTCCAACCGCTCGCCCAGGTGCGCCTCCTCCCAGCCTGAAGCAGGGTCCCCCTCCCGCAGCAGCACCGCCAGCAGCACTGTCTTGAGCATGTATGAGGACAGGATGCGTCCCCACTGGGTGGCGGCCGTTGGGTCCAGCCCGCGGGCGCCCAGGTCTCGCAGAGCTTTAAGCAACTGCAGGCACTTGAGGTAGCAGGCACCTGGAGGGGCCCGTTCCTGCAGCCAGCTCAGCAGCTTCTGCTCCTGCCGAGCTGTGTTCACACCCCACAGTGCATCCGTGCGCAGGCCTCCAGGGAGCTCCGACAGAGGCCCGATGGGCGAAGGGGATGGTGGCGGTGCCACGAGGAAAACGCCGTCGCCCAAATGCACAGCGGGGATGAGACGCACTGCCATGGAAAGGCGGCAGCAGCCGTAGTCCGTGCGGCAGGGCAGGATGTGCAGGGTGGGAGGCTGCTCCAGGCCGCCCGGGGTCAGGCTGACCCGACAACGCCCCTCCAGACTGTAGCGCACGGTGGCCAGGGAGCGCTGCAGGTGCGCCTGGAACCAGCGCAGCACCAGCGCGGCAGAGAGGTGACGCCGCCCGAGCACGTCCACGCAGAAGCCGTCGGCGAAGGGTTTGCAGTCCCGCAGCCAGTGGCTCCCGGAGGCCCCCGGCGGCGCCTTGAGCGCGCACACGAAGCAGCCGTGGAAGGCGGGGGCCAGCGCGGGCTCGGCGCCCAGGCTCCGCGGCTCCAGCGCCACCAGCGGCGGAAGACGCAGCGGCACCAGCACGTCGAAGCCGTCGGGCCGCCGGATTTTGTGTTGCTCGTAGGCGCTGCCCACCTGGATGAAGTCTCCACGGAAGGCCAACGCCAGTGCGCCGCCGGGGATGGGGCCGGGGGACCCCCGGGCGCGGCCAGCCCGCACCAGCTCGCCCACGATTCGGCTCACGTGCGCCTTGCTGTGGCCCAGCACGTGCGGGGACAGGCGCACCTCGTGCTCGTAGTAACTCTCCAGCAAGATGCCAAGACTGGGCTCTCGGAAGTGTCTAGGAGAGAAGCTCGAGTGGCTCCCCAGGCGAGGAGACCCTGGCAGGAAGCGCTGCCGAACAGCGTGGCGACAGCGCAGGAGGATGTAGCCAAGGAGGAGCAGGACGGCCACCTTGAGCAGCGGGAAGCCGCCGTCCGCACCGTCGGGGGGCTCGGCCGGGGCTCCCCCGCTTCCCCGCAGGACATGGTAGAGGCACACAAGGGCAGTGCAGAGGCCGGTTACCAGGGGCCAGAAGACGCGCAGATTGAGGGTGTAGTGCACCGACATACCGGGCGCCCGGGACAGCGGCGGCCTTGCAGCCCAGGGCGCGAGCCCCGGCGGCGCCCCCGGCCCAGCATGCGGGCAGCGCCCGGGCAGCCCCGCGGTCCCGGTCTCCTTCGCCTCCGCGGCGGCTCCCCCCTCGCAGGGCCGGGGGAAGGCGCCCTCCAGCTCGGCCTCCTCTCCCAGCTCAAGTTTTCCTTCCAGCTGCGGCCGGCCCTGCACTCCCGGGCCCCGGGCCGCGCCCTGCGCCGGCCGCACGCTGCGTCCTGCCTGGCGCCCCTCCCCGCCCGGCGGCCCCGCGCGCTGCCCGCGGCCAGCTTCCGACCCGGCCCGGCTCGCCTCCTACCCTGGGCGGCACTGCCGGGCTCCCCCTCGGCGCTCGTTCCCGCTCTCCTCCGCGCTTGTTCCCGTTACTCGGCCCCAGGAGCTTCCTCTTCCGAGGGGACAGGAGCCCGCGCCAGCTAACCGGGAGGAAATGCCGAAGTCTGGAGCCGTGCGCGGAGCCGCCGGGTGGCGTGGCCCCCTGCCCGGCCTCCGCCTTAAAGCGACGTGGGGCGGCGGGAGGGACTTCAGGACGCGCCTGGAACTGGCTTCTCGCGGGTCACCCCCCGCCCCCTCCCCGAAGGCAGAACCGGGAAGGGCCTGATCCCGGGCGGTGGCCTCGTCCTGGGAGCCTCTGGAGTGGTGCTCACTCACATAAAGTTGCACGGGGAAGTTGAAAAGGAGGAGAAAAGGGCTCACACCCAGGGTGTCCCTCCCCGCCCCCAGCCAAGCAAGTCGTGGCGTTGGTGGCGTGGCAGGCTCTGGCACGGAAGTGGCCGCTGCCCCACCGTGCTGCCGTCCCTTATTCAAACCAGTATTTACTGAGCACCTACTACGCGCCAGGCAGTAGGCTAGGAGCTGGGGAAACAGCAGTGGGCAGGATGAGCCGAGGTTTGTGCCCTTCGTAAAGCTTACAGCCTTTCTAAAAAAGGAAACCAAAAGAGAAAGGATCCCGTAGCAGAAAATGCTCTGAAAGAAACAAAACGGCCTGACGGAGTGAGAAGGTGGGGGCTGCCCCATGGAAGCTGGAGGCTCACTGCGGGCTGACGTTTGGTCTGAGATCTGAACGAGGAGGAGCAAGCCTTGGGAATATCAATTTCAGCTTTTACAGAGGACTGACTGTGTGCCAGTATTGTGCTAATCACCTTACACATACTCCCTCCTCATGTCAATCCTACGAAATGTACACTTGTATTTTCCCCATTTCTCAGTTAAGGAAACTGGGGCATAGCTGGGTTCAGGGACTTGCCCAGGGTCACACAGCTTTAACAGAGTTGTGCCTTGAATACAGGCATCTAGATCCAGAGAAGCCAGGGGGCAGGACTCAGGGAGGGGGACCAGGGAGCCCCCTCCTCAACTGCTGGGAGTTCATCTGTGTCCTCTGTCAGGACTTGCATTGAGACCTCAGTCCTCCAGAAGTTTTTTTTGTTTCATAACAGGGAGCACTCCCTGAAATAATCTGGATTTGTTTAGTTAAGCTGGATTTATTGAAATAATTATCTTTATTTATTTATGCTCATTGCACCTTCCCCCCCTCCCAACACCATTTAAGGAGAGCAAAGGTGAATGTATTAAAACTGTCATAACTGGGGCGCCTGGGTGGCTCAGTCGTTAAGCGTCTGCCTTCGGCTCGGGTCATGATCCCAGGGTCCTGGGATCAAGCCCCGCATCAGGCTCCCTGCTCAGCGGGAAGCCTGCTTCTCCCTCTCCCACTCCCCCTGCTTGTGCTCTCTCTCTCTCTCCCGCTGTGTCTCTCTCTGTCAAATAAATAAATAAAATCTTTAAAAATAAAAAATAATAAAACTGACAGAACTCAGCTGTTGTCTAGGACTCAAGACACAGAGGATGACTCCTGAGTTAAGCATCTGGATGCCTCCCAGGAAATCCTGGATTGAGCCTCTTAGAGCTAAGGAGACCTGCTTTCAGATCCCACCTCTACTACTATTAGCTATGGGCCCATGCTCTACTACTCCAGGTTCTTTGGGTTGCAAGTGACAGAAACACAGCTAAAAAATATCTTACTGTGTCATGTTAAGTGAGACCTCTTTTCTAAGGGGGGGCACTCTCTGCCAGGCCTTCCTTCTCCATATGCCCCTGGCTGCTCTAGCCTCACCTCCTCATATTAACCTCGGTGCCAAGGAAGAGAGTTGTGCTTGCCTGAAAATTGTAGCAGATGCCATGCCTAGAGATAGTCTTGAGAAATATGCTAAAAGTGACCAAGTTAGGGGTGCCTGGCTGACTCGACCGGTAGAGCACGCAACTCTTGATCTCGGAATTGGAATCTCGAGCCCCATGTTGGGGATAGAATTTACTCTGGAAAAAAAATTTTTTTTTAAATAAATGACTCCGTGCTCAGCCGGGAGTCAGCTTCTCCCTCTCCCTCTGCCCACTCCTCCTCGCTCCTGCACTCTCTCGCTCTCAAATAAATAAAATCTTACAAAAACACCCGGGGATGTCTGGGTGGCTCAGTCGTTTAAGCATCTGCCTTTGGCTCAGATCATGATCCCAGAGTGCTGGGATCGAGTCCCACATTGGGCTCCCTGTTCAGCGGGGAGTCTGCTTCTCCCTCTGCGCCCCCCCCACTTGTGCATGCACTCTCTCTCTCTGATAAATAAATGTGGCCAAGTTAGAGAATGATGCACTGATAAATCTGGCCTGGGCTGGTGCTATGGATTGAGTTGTGTCCCCACAAAATTAAACCCTAACCCCTAATGTGACTGTGTTTGGAAACAGCTTTTCGGTGGTCATTAAGGTTAAATGAGGTTATAAGGATGGGCCCTAACGCCGCAGAACTGGTGTCATTATAAGTAGAGGAAGGGGCACCTGGGTGGCCCAGTCGATTGAGCCCGGACTCTTGGTTTCGGCTGAGGTCATGATCTCATGGGTCCTGGGATCCCACCCCAAGTGGGGCTCCTTGCTGAGCGGGGAGGCTGCTTGGAGAGTCTCGCCCTCTGCCCCTCCCCCCCGTGCACGCGCGCATGCGCGTGCGTGTTCTCTCTCTCTCTCTCTAAAATAAATAAATGTGGTTTTTTTTTAAGAGTTTATTTATTTGACAGAGAGAGACACAGCGAGAGAGGGAACACAAGCAGGGGGAGTGGGAGAGGGAAAAGCAGGCTTCCCGCCGAGCAGGGAGCCCGATGTGGGGCTCGATCTTAGGACCCTGGGATCATGACCTGAGCAGAAAGCAGACGCTTAGCAACTGAACCACCCAGGCACCCCTAAAATAAATAAATCTTAAAAAAAAAAAGTTGAAAAGACAGAGAGGTCTCTCTCCATACATACACACACGCCAAGGAAAGACCTTGTGAGGACACAGCAAGAAGGTGGCAATCTGTGGGCCGGGGGAGAGCTTGCCCCAGGACCCTCTGCACCTTGACCTTGGGCTCTCCAGCCTCCACAACTGTGGGAAAATAAATTTCTGTCGCTTAAGCCATCCAGTCTATGGTATATGGAACCCCAGCTGACTAACACGGTTGGAGGTGGGGTGAGCCCTGCTCAAACCGTGGGGACTGTGGGAGGGGTATCCCTCATGGAAAGTCACAACACTACGCTGGAAGAAGGGGGATGTTTGGCATGCAAAAACAACAGGTGGCCACCATTTGGGGATAAATCTCTTAATCTCACTTTGCTTCAATCTCCCCTATAATCTATGAAAGCCCCCGGGGGGGGGAGCGGTTTTAAGAAAGTAACATGTTCTCCCTAGTGGAAATGGTGGTGTGCTGTCTTCAGCCATACAAAGAACGGCAACTCTCGATCATAGGCCAGAAAACATTTTTTGTAAAAGGCCAGAGAATAAATATTTCAGGCCCTACAGTCTCTGCTCTGACGACTTGGGTCTGCTGTTATAGACCCAAAGCAACTATATTCATTTCCTGGGGCTGCCGGGGAGCTTAAAACAATAGAAATTTTTCTCTCCCAGCTCTTGAAGGCAACGGGGCTATGCTCCCTCAGAAGCCTTTAGGGGAGGATCCTTTCTTGCCTTGTCCAGCTTCTGGTGGCCCCAGGCCTTCCTTGGCTTGTGGCCACATCATTCTGCTCTAATCTCTGCCTCTCTTCCTATAGGGCTTCTCCTCTCTGTCTGTATCTTTTTGTTTTCTGTCTCTTGTAAGGACACGTGTCACTGGGTATAATCCTAGTGATCTTGTCTGGAGATCCTTACATCTGCAAAGATTCTCTTCCCAAATAAGTTCACATTCACAGGTTTCAAGGGTTAGGACGGGGACATATTTTTTGGGGGGGTGTCTTAGAAGAGCCTCAGTTTTCCTTCCTATGTGTCTCCTTTACTACTCACACTGCATACCCCACTTCTGACATTTCTGGCCATCCAACTTTGGGGGGTGGGTTTCCCCACAACAAGCAATTCTCTGCCATACCAGCTGGGTGTCCTACAATTTAACTCGATTCTGACACTATCTCCCTGGAGATGGTATCAGATCCCACAGGTTAAGAGCTCAGTCCCATAAGACTGCCCCCCCCACTTCAGACACCAGTCACAAGAAGTAGGTCTCCCAGGGGACCCATTATTCTATCCAATTTCGCTATAGGTTGGAGGTTCCTATAACCCCCTCCTTGGGTTTGATTAATTTGCTAAAACAGCTCACAGTATTCAGGGGAGCATGTTTACCAGTTTATTAAAGGACATGATAAAGATACTTCTGTCCCTGTGGAGTTGGGGTGTCCCCCTTTTCACAGGGTGTCTTGTCACCCTCCCAGTACATGGGTGTGTTCACCAACTTGGAAGCTCCCCAAACCCTGTACTCTTGCAATTTTATGAAGGCTTTCTCACATAGGCATGATCAATTATTAACTCAATTTTAGCCCTTTTCCCCCGCTCTGGAGAAGGGGAGGGGGCTGCTGAAAATACCAAGCTTCTAATCATCACTTGGTCTTCCTGGTGACCAGACCCTATCCTGGAGCCATCCAGGAGCCTAGCCAAAGTCACCTCATTAGAACAAAAGATTCTCCTAGTGCTGTTATCACCTAGGAAATTACAAGGGTTTTAGGAACTCTGTGCCAGGAACCAGGCGCAGAGACTAATATATATATATTTTCTATTATCTCACAGTGGGCCATGATTGACCCCACTACACTGAGCAAATGATGTATCACTGTTATGTTTTTCCTGCCTATAATCGATTTCCATAGCTCAT